CATCACACTACCGTTCGCGCTCTTTACGAAACTTCGTTCAAATCTATTTCCCTGTCAATGTTCCCATCTTCATTAAAAGGCGTAAGATGACAAATACAGGATCTTGAAGAATTTCTCAATAATGTGCCTTGGTTATGGAAAGTAATCTGAAGAAAAAATAAAGTGTTACTGTTTCTTATTTGTAGAAGGATTAAGAGGAAAGACCACAACATAATGAACTAATTCATCACAATACCTGAAAACTCTGACTTCACTTTTTTGAAAAATGAAATTGTTTTCCTTTTACTCCCGATCAACAATCAAATGTCTTTTCTTGAATTATGAATAACACCAATGGATTGAAATATTTAATTAAATTATCTCAAAATAAACCTTCATTTCGGTGCAATATTGAAATTAGCTTGAATTCTTCATAACCTCTGAATAGTGGGTGACCCAACGGGTCACGGGTGGTCTAGTTTAAGCTATGCTTTATTGAAGTTACTATATGTTAGATGGACAAATTCTGGTCTATTTGAAAAAAATTAATGCTGTCAAACAAACTCACGTAGACGTAAACAATAAAGTAACGGTATTCATAATTGTGTACAAACTACGAAACAGTTATGAGCGATCAGAGTTTTAGCCAACAATGTCATTGTTATTTCATATCAATTTGGTTTCAATATATTAACCAATAAATCATATTGTGTTTCTCGGCCAAAATATGTTTCTTTTGAGTTTTAAATCATAAGAATATTTGTAACTGTTGATGTGAATAAAGTTTTCCAAAACTTTCTGTCTGTATTCATTAATATTTCAATGTATTTTCCGCTATTGAGGTATGAAACATCTTTAGTAAGACAGAAGTAACTTAAAAAAGCGAAATTCTCTTCTGTTTAGTGGTCGTCATCACATGAGGACAATTCCACTTTGCTGATCAAAATAGTTGCTGAAAGACATTCACATCTAACCTTAATTTAGTTATACTTTAAACCTCCTACCATATATTCAACCAAAAATGAAGGGAGTTAATAAGGCAAAATATAAACTTTTGACACTCCCTAAATAATCGTACATATATTGCATTTTTTTCTTTATTCAGTCCGAAAATCTTGAACTTATTTTATTATTGTTTTCTTTTACGATTAGATACAAATTTTACAGTTCACGAAACATATTTATGGTTTTCAATCTATGTCTATGACGTTTCTTATCTAAAACTAAAAAGCCGTGCTTATAAAGCATAGAACCAACTACAGAACGTATCTTGAATTTAGTAGGATTTCAATAACATTGAGCTTTTAAACGGTTCAGAGCAAACATGGTTTCAATAACACTATGTTTTTAATCTCTACAAAGCAAGCATGCTTTCAATAACATTAATTTTTAAACTTTGCAAACATGATTTTAATAACACTCAGTTTTTAAAGTTTGCAGACATGGTAGGTTTATAATACTAAAAAACAGGGTTTCGATACCTGTAGCGGGCCCACCACAAATAGACCATTGTGTAGCTTTAAGCTCACTTGACACACAAAAACGAGCAAAGAAACAAAATTGAAAAATTAAACAGGATTCTAAATTTATACTTACTTAGAGTGTAGTGGCTAACACATCCGTCTACCAGGCGGAATGTTCCAGGCTAGAGCTTTGGTAGGCATTATAATTTTTTCATAGTTTTTCTTCACGCATATTATTCACACTTTATTTTTGGAAACCAATTACATTTATGTTGTGTATTAGATTGTACGATGTCCATATTTTGTATTTGTGAAATATATATATATACATATAGTCCACATTGTGACAGCCTGTTGATTGGTATAAGTATGTTAATGTCAAATAAAGTCTAAACTGATTCTGTAAACCAATTTATTTTAAAAACACATGAAGAGTCGTCTATGAATCTTAGAAGAGTAAACGAAATATTTCTATTTAAAGTTGTAATTATCTTACACCGTTGTTTATATCAAGAAATTGGGTGAATTTGGAAAGGGTAATATATTTAATTGCATAATACCTTGTATTCGTTTTTCTTTTTATTGGAAGGAGCGGGAAGGGAGTTTTTGGCATACGTTTGTATGTAGGTCTTAGATACAAGAAAAAAAAACATAGGCCTGGCATGGCCAGGTGGTCAGGACGCTCGACTCGAAATCTGAGGGTCGCGGGTTCGAATCCCCGTCACACCAAACATGCTCGCCCTTTCAGCCGTGGGGGCGTTATAAGTGATGGTCAATCCCACTATTTGTTGGTAAAAGAGTAGCCCAAGAGTTGGAGGTGAGTGATGATGACTAGTTGTCTTAAACTGCTAAATTAGGGATGGCTAGCGCAGATAGCCCTCGTGTAGCTTTGCGCGAAATTCAAAACAAACACTATGATTAAATAATTAAAAACTAATGTATTGTACACAGAAAACTTATCGGAAGGATGTTGAGTTGATCTTCGTAAAAGTATTATTTTTTTTTTAATTCTTTAAATATCGTCTCTTCTAGTTCATCAACCCGTCAGGAATCATTATTTCAACTACCTGTGATCAAGTTGAAGGTTAGTGTATGAAGATCCGGGGCAGGTGAGAAGTGTATTGAGGAATACGCACGATGAACACCAAAGGTAATTTAAGACTTTACGCACCTTGACTGAGAATTTTCACACACAATGATTTAATAGAAATTTTAAATAGTGGCCACTAAGAGGAACTTTACTTTCATATAAAATAACAAAAAAAAAATGTTTAGGGACAACAAAAGACCTATTGGTCCATCTCAGCTGTCCCATCTTTTAAACTATTATAAACTTAAAGATATATCTTAAAGTCAGCCTTTATCATTCATATAGTTATCAAGCTTTCTTTTAAACTCACTTAAATTTACCACTTCCACAACATCTGAAGGCAACCCATTCCAGACGCATGTGGTAAATTCTTCGAATAACAATTCTTGGAAACATACATTCACTAGCATCAAATGTTCACTACATAATTAGCACTACAAATTTTCCCATATCAGACTGGCTGTATAATGTTAGTTTAATTTTAATTCCCCCAAAAAGCAGAAACATGGCACTAAGGCCACAATGGAGGTCAAGCGATAACTCCCCGTAATGTCAATGACCTTGACCTCACATGACAACTGAGCAAATGATGAAGTGATCCATTGGCGGTGTTCTTTGATTTACTTGTTATAGTATGACAATTGTGACACTATGATGCTCTGCTCAAATGCAAAAAAAAAAATTAAATAAAATAATAAAATAAAAATCCTTGACCAAGGGGCAATTTTACTATAAATAAAAAGGAGAATTGTTTTGATGTGTAGCCTCAAGCCTTCCCTCCACGTCTTCAGTAACCAAGCCCTACAATAGTCTAACAGTATCTCACCCTCCACACGTCAGTCCTAAACTACAAGTGCGGGGTGAAGAGAAACTCCAGTTTCTGACCATCCCTGATTGTATTCCGGGCCTCTTTGTCCAACAGTATCTCACCCTCCACACGTCAGTCCTAAACTACAAGTGCGAGATGAAGAGAAACTCCAGTTTCTTACCATCCCTGATTTTATTCCGGGCCTCTTTGAGGCTCGAAATATCTAATCAAAATAACTGCCAAGATTAACTAGAAACTGACGTGTTACTCTCTGCAATCACTGCTGAGGAGTGTTGGATGATCTGAAACGTCTAAATAAGTGTGTTTGAAAGTGCTGTCACCTGACCATTAGTCACTATATATGAACAGTCCTGTGAAATGGTTGTACACGGTGCACTGTGTGTGTACTATATAGAGTATTATAATATTATTGCAAACTGGTTCCCCCAAAATGTTAAATTTTGTTGAGAGTGAAAATTATCTTAGCTGAAAATAACTTTTACCCTGCCAAAATTTGTATTTGTGTCCCCTAGTCCTACCATTCTCATCATTAAATATGAAAAATGATAATGCATCAATACT